CATTGCTGCATAAAGGTGGTTACAAAGGATTAGTCACTCCAGATATTAGACGTAGTGTCAAGTTAACAAGATATCAAAGTGAGAAAGTTACTGTAAGCTATCAAGATTATATGACACATTGGCATAGCCGAAGATGCTAGCAGCTGGCTTGGGGTCCTAGTCAAGGACCCCAATTGCCACAAAATTCTGTTGCAGTTCATTATAATGCTAATACGTCTCATACATCTCATCTACTATACAACAGTACTCAATATAATTCTTATATGGCCAGTCAGGAACATGGATTAGTAATGACACAACGTAATCATCCTGCATTTATACATCCTCTTCCAATACCTCCTATTTCTCCTGTCATGTTACCTATATGGGATTATTCATCATTTTGGTGGGATCAAACTAGTTCATCTTATCCTCCACCACATTCACATCTTCATCCTCCTCCTCGTGTTCATCGTTTTTCGTCACAAGAACCTGATCGTGGAATTCGTAAACGAAAATGACATTGGAGGCGACTATTGTTTACAATGTTTTATTGTTTAAAATGGTGCCTACTATACTTTGTATGTTTCTGCATACACGGTTTTCCTCTTATGATATCACATAGTCCTCCTTGAGGATAATAGCATTTTATGTATGATGGCACTGTCTTATTTCTTTATCTTTTATAATATAATAATATTATTTAATATTTAATAATTGGTATAATCATAAAATATATATGCATACAAAAAGTGCATTAACTTTTAACTTTAATATTTGTAATCATTGATAAAAATATATGTCAAATATTCGAATTTTAAAACTTGTACTATAATATAATTGCATATTCTCATGTGCTTTAATACGTTCATAAATTAAATAATATGATTCAGTCCACAAATAGAATATACATAGTATGCAATTAGCTCTGCCATCATACTTATTGAGTGTCCATTTATGTCTACAGTATACGAGTGACATGAATAATATTTTAGCACAGTGATGCTGCCTGCAATTCACTGCCTGCTTCACAAGGTTTAATGTACAAATTCACGCGAAAATGTTTCTATTATTCATATATTACAAAAATATAGAATATCATTTTTAGATAATAACATAAGTGAAGAATAAAAAATTAGATTTTCTATTAATTCATATAAGATATATAATTATTTTCTATATAACTTTCATGTAATTATCATTTATCAAAAGTTATAAGAAATTTGCATAAACAGTTAAATTAATATGAATCAAACAATTAATTTAAATAATATTATAATTAATACATAAATAATACATTTTCTAAATTATGCAAAGAGAGTTATTTAGAAACTTTCTTATTATTGTGTTTTTGATTAACTCATAAATAATACATACATATATAAATACTAATTTTAAACTTACTAATTTAAATTTCTTTGTATTAATGGTATAAGTACATAATTTTTATTGTTATTACATATATTTAATTATTTATATTGATTGGCATTTTCAAAAATGGAAGTCTTTAATTTAATAATGTTTAATTTTTTGTAAAATATAATTAATTTTTAGATTTTCGTTTTTTTTTTATACCATTATTACATTGAAATTTAATATTTGTAGTTATATTATAGTCCAGCGTTTTATTACAGAAAAGAATTATACCATTAAATACATAAATATGTAATTTCTTGTGAATAATTGTAATTAAAATTAGATATAATCAATTAAATTAACAGTAAATATTTCGATACTTATTTGGAAATTATTGCTGATTTTACAAAATTTAGATAATATTGTTAAAGGAAATAGCAGTGTGATAAAGATGATAGAATGGGACCTCTATTGTAAATAAGCAATGGACTGCATTATGACTATTAAAATGCGTTAATAATAGTTGTATTATAGTTGTAGATGAAAATGTGACGATCTCATTGTGATTTTAATATTCTGTGACTCATAAAACACAAATAGAGTTGCTATTGCTTTTTCTGTAACATATTTATCTTATTACTTTGTTTCTGTTGAAATAACATATAATTATAACGTTAAAATGAATTAATGAAACATACATATGGTGATTTTTAAGGTATAGTAAAATATGTTCTTCCATATCTGTTAATATTTTTACTTTCTTCATTCATTTAACCTTTACTTGATTTTTTTTACACACTGCCAATTTATCAATTGCTATTTTTATTACGATAAGAATATTTTTGTTAATACACACAAATAATAAGAAACTATTTTTTTTTTTAATCATAAGTTTGTAATTATTGTTAAAATATTTAGTTATTCAAGTTATCTTAAAAAATTTTTTGATATATTTTTATTAGTCATATATTCAGCATTATGTGATGTCTAATTAACTGCCATTTATATATTTAAATAATGAAAACTAATTGCATGTGCTCGATTTGTGACAATAGAATATTTTAATTCCTTGATTAAAAATAAAGTGTGCATTTAGTGTGAAAATAAATTTAATATTATTGTTTATAAAAATATTTCATGGACAAAGTGAAAAAAAAAAAAATATACAAATACAAAGATGTTATTATAAGACAAATTTTTTTATATTTAAATTAAATCAATGTTTATGCATTGATATAAATTAATATAAAACATACAATGTTATATAGGAAATATATCTCTTTTTTCCATATATATATGGAATATATATATGGAATATATAATATATATATATATA